GTGTACCTGAAATACATTTGTGATTACTGCATTAGTTTTTTTGGTTACTTACAATGGAAATTTCATATAGTTTACCACTAAAGAATCTTTAACTTCCCAGAAAAAAAAAATGTAATTGGATCCCCATTATAAACCATCCAAGAAAAGAAAACCCAGCAAAACAAAATTTAATGATCACCAATAGACATAACTTTTGCTTGGAGACCAGAATAAAAACTCTACCTCATTAGCCCCGCGCACGAAAACTGTGTGCTTCCTGAAATCCACATGCACAAAGCACCACCCAAAGCAAATCAGAAAAACAAAATCCCAATTCCCAAATCTAATCAAATTCCTAACAAAGCTCATCCTTCTCAATGAACCTGTGGGTAGCGACCAGGATATCCATGAACCTCAGCCCATCGACGCATATTTTTCTTCTTCCCAGCCGAGCCTCCCCTCTTATTCACAGATTTGCGATTATCGGAGCAGGAGGTGGTGGCGACGGTGGACACAACCACAACGTACGCGACAAGAGAACATGTTCCCTTCATCTCTTCGATGTCAGATCGGACGAACTTTCGGGATCAAATGAATGAAGCTCAAAAATGATTGACGAAATCCGATGAAGAACAGTCGCCGGATCTCGACCCTAAATCTCCCTTTTATTCTTTGCTTTTCTTCGAATTGAGTTTTTGCCAATTTTGTGTGTGTGTGTGTGAAGGGTAAATGTGCAGCGAGGGTTTTTTTCTGTGTGTGTGAAGAGAATGAGCAGCAAGCAAGGGTTTCGTTTTGGGAAGATATGTTTGCAAAAGTCTTTTGCTTAAGAATTAAGCAAAGATAAAACGTTTCCGTCCCGGCACCGTCGCCCCACCGCTTCCGTCCCGGCACCGTCGCCCACCGTGAGATCCGCAAGTACCAGAAGTCCACCGAGCTGACTTGGTTGATTTTATGTCATCTTTTTCCTCTTCTTCTTTGCACGCAGATTTAGAACACCCTTAATTTTTTTTCTTCTCCTTATTTGTTCATTCACCAACAAAACACAGACACAAAAGGATATAAAGCTACTACCAGATTCTATTTTGTTAACTTCGTACACAGACATAGACACACATATTTTTTTCTTCTTCTTTTTTATCCCCATAAACAAACACAGCAATTTTGATTTTTTTTATTTTATTTTTAATTTTTTAGCATTTTCACAAATTATACTTAGATAAAATCCATTTTGTGATAAAGATTCAATTTTTTTTTTTATGCTTGAAAGTGGTTAAAATAAAAAATTATGGTGCTCTGTTTTTTCGTTTCATGCGTGTATAATGTTAGATTGAGTTTTTTTCCCAATTTTGTTGGTTAAGTGATGGTTAAGTGATGTAAATTAAGTTTAATTATTTATGTCTTATTTATTTTGAGCCATTAGATTGCCTCTTATTTTTTGTAAAATCAAGGGCTATAAATTAACTGTAGGGGCTGCTGTTAGTAAGTCACAGCAGCCCCCCCTTACCCGAAAAAATGAGGGGCTTTTGGTGCTTCATGAAATGGGATGCAGGGAATGAGCCACGTGGTGTCACAATAAAGGGAAGACATTTTCCCTTATAAGAAAAGAGAAATTTAAAATTGAACTAATTATTTCATAAATGGTAGGAAAAACGGTCGAATTATCTCTCTCTACAAAAAACTCATTAAGTTTGTGCCGAGTCTAATGTGTTCAATTAAAATAAAATTTACTATGCATATTTTTTTAAATATGTTTTAGTTAATTTTTTTTAAATAAATGTGCAATTTAAATACATTTTATAGGTAGTACAGGTAATACTAATCAAATCTCTTTTATCAATGCGTATTAACAAATTAATATTGTAAGGATATGAAATTATCCTATAGATTTGTGTTTTAAAGTTAATTAATATTATAAGGATATAAAATTATTCTATAGAGTAGTGTTTTAAAGTTAATTGCATGCGAGTGCAATATTTTTAAAATTCTGTGTATTTATATTTAATAAATAAATTGTGTTTTTTACGGGTACACAAAAATATCATTTTCTTTTTCCATAACAAAGTATACAATATTTTTAACATCGTGGAACTTATCAACTACTTTATTTAGTGGATAACTCTGCACGTACTCGATAATGGACTGGATAACTGTATTTAGTGGATAACTTTGCCCAACTGCGCATAAGTTGTTAGAAAGTAATTAACTTGGTGGTTATTATAAAGATCACATTTCCCATCAAAACCCTTCACATAAACATGGACGGGTGGTTCATGTTTGAGTATGCCCATGTATTTTTCAAAAGTTTATTTTATGTATGGTGAATGTAATGATTTTATTTTACTAAATTTACGTATATAAGTTAACATATTCTGTCCTATATCAGTTTTTGTTTAAGGATAAGCATATGCCTCTATGGAGAAAATTCAGTAAAAGGTAATATTTTTAAGGAAGGGGCTGTTTAAAATGAACTCGTGTTGTCATGTCTCACGGAATATAACGTTGTTGTCCATAATATAGCTAACTGGGTGGTTGTTTTATATGTGATTGTTCATATTCCATTTTTGCTTGGGTTTCTTAATTAACTTGATGAATTTTATAGTGCTGCTTAGTTATGAACATGAAAAGATTAAAAATATTAAGACCAATATATAAACTTTTAGAAACAAATGCAACAATAAATATGAAGAGGTATTAAATAACTTATAATTTTGTTTATTTATGATTTATACTTTGTTCCTTGACGCCATATTTTTTTTAGTATATATCCCGTGCATTTGCACGGGAAACCATACTAGTATACTATAATATACTAGTATCATAATTATAATATATTATAATTATAATATTATATTATAATTTTTGGTAACCCTAAAATATAACAAAAAGCAGATAGTTCAATTGTGAAGCCCGCAACCTTTTCTTTCCTTCGTCCAAAATCACTGTTTCGCCTTCGTCCCCAAATCACCTTCTCCTCCACGCGAAATCGCCCCAATCCAAAGCTTTTGCTTCGCGTACCCGCTGCAAACCCCGCTGCAAATCGCCTCTACCTCCGCCGCAAATATCGTCCTCAATTCATCAAACA